AACATAGTAGGAGCTGATGTCTTAAGCCTGCCCTCTATCAACATCATTTTCATTTACTGAAAGGGTTTGGGGTGTACACGTCTCTTTAATACATATTAATTGAATGTTACTATGGCATTGTGTTGTTTTCTACTTACTGTGAAATAGAAATCATGATAATGAGCATGGATTTCTCTGTCACACTCGTGATAAATGACATCTTGCTATTAGTACGATTCTGCTACAAATAATAAACTGCTACTGAGTAATATTCTATTGAATACATATTGCAGATGCTAAGTTATCGTCTTGAAACTTGTCTTTTTTTCATTTGACTGTAGATCTTAAATTATTTCAGACCATATAGTATTTGTCTGGTTGCTGTGGGATTGGTTTGCATTACTGTTTCTCTCTATGATGTGTGTACTGATTGATGTGTTTGCACTATACACTTGTGGCAATATGTGTGAAAGGAATAGCATAATCAGAAATTACTGTTTTTAGGTGGTGGTGGTGGTGGTGGTGATGCAGCTAATTCACTCTCACACGATTAACTTTGAAACCGGAAGTAATTGCTGTGAACTGGGTGAGAACATGAAACACCAATGATTGGATATACCCTCTGTCATTCAAACCAACAGCATATTCAACCAGAAGAAAAACACTGAGACCTAAACTCTGTGGCACAGTAGGTTTCAGCTAAAACATCAAATTTTCGGCCATGGTTTCTCTTGTGGTTTTTGTTCCTTTCTAAGAATCAATATGTGGGATTTTATTTAAGCTGCATCTTTAAGAATTTTGTGCTGTTATTCTTTTCTAGTTTGTTTGCTTTTTTAACTTTTTGAAAAATCAGAAAACACCTTTTACTTTTGCATTTTCCTGTATGTCTGTAAAACGTTGTTTCTTGAGGTGTACGTCACATAATAACCCGCTTTGGAAGCGGCAGAAAACAGAATGCTATTTTTAAGTGTCTGTATGAACCACAGAGCCTAGGAGCAACAGTCCTTGAACTAAACAAGTGAATAAAAGAGCTCACCTTTTTACCATACAATCTGCAATATGTCTTCTTACTGATTATAACTTCCTGTTGAAGCACCCAGTTTAAAAAGTGAAGATGGGCCCAACAGATATGGGGCCTGATGCTCATCTACATTAAGACCTTCCTTTACAGTGCTCCAACAGTCACAACCGCGTGAAGGCCCCTTTACACTGCCAGAGAGGTGAAAAGGGGCCTGAATGTAAATGAGAATCAGGCCCATGATGTACAATAATAGTTTAAAAAAGGAGTACTTGTGGCACCTTAGAGACTAACAAATTTATTTGAGCATAAGCTTTCGTGAGCTACAGATCTGATGAAGTGAGCTGTAGCTCACAAAAGCTTATGCTCAAATAAATTGGTTAGTCTCTAAGGTGCCACAAGTACTCCTTTTCTTTTTGCGGATACAGACTAAAACGGCTGCTACTCTGAAACCAATAATAGTTTAGTTAGTTGTGTCCTATATCTAGCAGATTTATTCAATTATTTTAATATTCACTCCTGCTACTGTTAAAATTACTTTGTAGCATCTGTAAGTATTAAAAGACAATGTCTTCCCTTAATATTTTTTCCATTGAACTGAGGTCTACGTGACAAGTTACTGTGTGACCTAATTCCCTAAAAAGAAGAAGGTGTTCTTTCTTCAATAGATAGTTCTGACATATATGTATCATGGTTATTTCTAAGGTTCCCATCACTTAAACATAAATATAATTTATGACACCATAAAAAATAAACATTGAATGGGATACCAAGAGCATGAAAATGAACAACACACGACGAAGCAATGGAATTTATATAGCGATTCTGTTAGATAAAGAACCAATTGAAAAATAGTTCCCTAAAGGACCCAGTTTGCCCCTTTATTCACACTGAGTAGTATTTTATCCTGCAAGTTCTCCCACTCAAGTCAATGGGACTACTTGCAAAGTAAAATACTATTCTGTATTTTACTGAGAATTAGCCCTATCATGAGATAACAGGCAGAAATTGCTGGGATCATCTATTGGCAATAATGTAGAACTTAAAGTGTTTCCTGATAATGTGGATGTTCCTTTATAAAGAGACAAGGAGAGAAAACAATTAAGTTATTATTCCACTGTTTTAGTTATTTCAAGTTAAAAAATGTGTCAATAGGTGATTTCATGCTGTTTTGGACAACCATAGCTGGACAACATAACAGTCAAAGCAGTGAACAAGATATGGGTAGCTTTCAAATTCCATGAAAGAATGATCTTAGAAAGGTGTACATGTCCAAGTAGCCCATGCACAGGTATCAGGGAGTTCTTACACTCAGTATGTTGCTATATGGGTACACAGTTGAGGGCACAATCTGGCTTTTAAAGTTTATTTCCACTATATGCTTGTACAGCACCTAGCACAATGGGGCCCTAAGGATATAGCGGAAAATCTGTAATACAAATAAATATTCTTTTCTTTTTACTTACTTAAGGTAAAGGCTTAAAGTGTTAGTGAAAACTGGAAGAATGATGAAGCTCTGGGGTAGAGCAATATGTTGCTTTTGTAGATTCAACAAGGACTTTTGTATTTTTTTTCTCCTCAAAATCTTTCATTCTAAAGGTGAAAAGTACCTGGGATGAATGCCCTGGGCCATGGAAATTATAGGCCCTAGGCCCAAATTGATATTTTCTCTTTCTTAACATTTTACCACACATCTGATCTCTTAACCTTCCCATCTGTCAGCATCCCTGCAACCCCACAACATGGTTAGTATGATGACATGATTAAATGTAGCTTTTCCACTGTCACCTAAGTCTCATTTACTCCTTAGAGTGGAAAGTGAGGTTCCCAGAGAGTAATGGACTAGTTGAATTTTCTCCAATGACCATGAAAGGGAGAGGACAGACAAGACCAGCTTTAAGAGTGAGGGATCCAGATAGAGTTACATGGTTTGGGGGCTAAGGCCCTCAGTTACCTTTTGGTGTCCCACCCGGTAGAGGGATTGGGTTGCACAACCACATTGAACAGCTGCCAGCAGGAGAGCTGTCCTTGGTGCTAGTGGCTCCCCCAAAGATCCCTGCCGCAGTTCCCACCGAGGAATGCGTGCCTGGTTCCTAATCCATGGGATGAATGCTCTGGTAGTCAGAGCTAAATTGTAATCTCTTTCTCCCCCAACACTATCACTGTGCTGCTTCCACCACCTCCTCTCTCTCTCATCTTTCAGTATTTTTCTACAGAAATCAACATGCAAAAATATTTGCTTTCATGGTCTAGCTTTCCAAATACCACACTATATATTTTTTATTAATCGACTAACATCTATATTTTTAAAGATATACAGCAACATTCCCAGCTGCCACATACCAACCCATAATTTGTTTGCATCTCGCAGAACTTTTAAAAATAAAACTCTTGAAGAAAAGAAAATTTCTTCCTGCGACAAGTACTGTGGCATTCCTGAAAAGGGTTCACAAGCCTTGTTCAACTTTATCATGACAACAGCCATCTACATCATCATATTTCATTCTATTTATCTGAATTCACTTTATCTTTATCATCCACAATTGATAAGCATGCTGGTTTTGCCAAGGTACTATATTTTTATTGGCAGAGGCAAGGAAAACAAGAATTGTACAAATATCTTGACACTTGAAAGTGAAACCTGCATACTCTCCAACACCTACCTGGAAGGTACAAAGTCTTTAAGTCTGGTTTTTAAAAATGGATGATTTGGAAGGGGAGGTGGAGACATATGACTTCTATTAGTTGTACCTAGAGGTCCCAACCAATACAGGAGCCCCTTTGCCTTAGGCATCTTATTTCTTAGTATGTGTTTGTATAAACTTCCTCAAAAAGCTTGCAAACTAGACAAGTGAGAGGTGAGAAAAGAAAGGGAAGAAACACATATGACTATTAAACAATCATATCTTGCTCTTATATCGTGGTTTTTATCAGTAAATCTCAGGGTGTTTCATCTCTAAAGGAGATCAGCCTTATAAACCACATTTTATAGATGGGTAAACTGAGGCACAAAGCAGCGAAGTGACAATTTCTGAAAGGAGCTCAGGTGACAAGGGGCAGTATAAAAACTTGAGTAGAATAAGCGGGGGACGGGAAACTGAGGCACGGGTTGGCTGAAATGGCTTGCCCAACGTAACACCACAGGGCGGTGGTAGAGTTGGGACGATAACCCGGATCTCGCCAGTCCCAATCTGGTGCCCTAGCCACTGGGCCACCCAGCTTGTCCTAGCGAAAAGCAGGATGAATAATTTTTTGCGTATCGATAGTACCTGTCATCTGAGGCTCTCAAAGCGTTTTACAACCATCCGTGGACTGGGCTTCACGTCCCCTGTGAGGCTGCGGAAGGACTGGCCCTACTTTCTAGATGAGGCCACTGAGGCACGAAACAGAGGAGACGGCTCGTTCAAGGTCACTCTGCCCGTCAGCAACAGCCTCGCGCTTCAGTGGCCACTGCCAAGGCTGAACGAAGGCTCTGGAGGGGCTGGGGTTTGTTGGGCTGTTCTTCCACCCCTCCCTCCCTCCGGCGCGTGGGGCTGGCGGGCGAGATTAGGCCGCAGCCCAGGGAAGGAGCTGCCTGTGCTGAAGGCAGACAAGATTACTGCCGAGCCCGTGCCAGCGCCGGGCCGCCCTACCCCCGCCCGCTCCCTGGCCCTGGGAGCACCATCCAGCAGCGGCCGCCGCCGCAAGTCCGCCGCTGACTCTGCAACAGCGGGGAGGGCGCGCGGGGGGGCGGGGGGGCGGAGAGGGGAAGGTTCCCTCCCCAGAACCTTTGGCTGCCTGCGTTCTACAACAGAACGCCAGTCGGAAGCCACGAGCGCATGCGCCTCCCGGGACGGGCTCTCACGCCGCGCGCTCCCCAGCTGTTCCCTGGCTGGCCGCTGCTTGCCTGGGTGCGTGACATCAGGCGCTGGGCAAGTCAGAACACGTACCGGGCGGCAGGGCCGGGGAGGGGACAGGCGCGGGGCGGGGAGGGGCGCCAGCTGAACGAAGAAAACAAGTCCTGGGCTTCTCCAGCTGAGCCGCAGAGGCGGCGTCCCTGCAGCCGGTGGGAGCTCACCTCTCGCTGGGCGCCGCGGAGGTGCAGAACCTGGGCCCGGGAGCAGCAGGGGAAGAAAGAGGAGGGCAAAGCGGGAGAGCGCAGGAAGAAAGCCCGGGGAGCTGTTCAGATCAGACCCGCCTGCCCGGTGGTGGGCACCGCTGGAGCGGCTGCCCCCTCCTCCCCCAGGAAGCGCCGCTGCCCCTCGGGTTTCTCCGAGGAGAGGCGACCGGCGGCCGCGCCGCGCTCTGATGGCTTAGGAGACCTGTGCGAGCTGGACCAGCCCCGAGAGCTTGCCGAAGGGGGAAGCGCCAGACGGGTGCCCCGGACACTGGTGCGAATAGATGTGAGATCCAGCGGCGAGGAAGAGGCATGGGCCAGCCTGGGGCCAACGACATGTCCAACGCCGCTGCCTTAGGGAATTTGGGGAAGGTGAGGGAGCTGCTGGACCAGGGGGCGGACCCCAATGCAGTCAATTCCTACGACAGGACGCCGATCCAGGTACAGGGACCAGCGAGGGGGGTTCACGGGGAGCCAGGCAGGAGACTCAAGACCCGGTGGGAGGTGGGGAGTACAAAGGGTGCAAACCAAAAAGACTGCAGGTGCTGAGCGCTTAGCACGCTCTGGTTTTAGTGAACGCAGCGCCTCGGAGACTCGGGCCCTTTACAAGCCTCGCAGACATTATACAGCTATCATCACACACAGCAGCTCCAAAGTGCGGGGAGCGTCAGTTGTTACTTTCACCTCGGACTGACTGCTCATAGCCTGGGGGTGGCAAAGCGACACATCAATGTAGTCCTTCAGAAAGTCAGCCGATCCCCTTCCACGATTGTTCTTTTCGCTATTTATTCGCCATGCACTCAATCAGGCTGCCGGCGATAAAAAAAAGTAAACCTAGTTTTGTTAGCGTGTGTCGCATTTTGTGACTGTTTTTACGCAGGGAGTGTTGTTCCTCATACATGTGCCAAAAATCACCCCTTCTGCCGCGAGCCTAAAGTTGACACTATAATAGCCGATAAAATCAAAAGGCGAAGCGGAATGGGAAATTCTATCCAGTGCATACAAACGCTAGCCATTTTTTCACAAGCTTAACAAAATGCTGAAATGGCGATACACCATCTCGGTGTCCGCAGAAATATGTAGAAGTAACACAGTATTTTTAAAAAAAAAGAAAGAAAAGGAAAGGAAAGGAGGACTTGTGGCACCTTAGAGACTAACCAATTTATTTGAGCATAAGCTTTCGTGAGCTACAGCTCACTTCATCGGTATTTAAAGTCACAAAACACTAAATCTGACTCCTCAGATAAACATCAGACATTATTAACATGCTAAAAGGACATGCATGCTTCAGTTGGCTTGTTCTAGATAAAGATATAACTCTATACCCCATTTAATATTTATCCTCTAGTATTTCTTGGTCGTTTTCAGGGCCCGATCCTGCAGCCCTACTCATACAAAGCCCCCACTGAGTTCTATGGGGGTGATCTGCATGAGGGAGGACAGTCCGAAGGAGTAGGCACCAAAGCCACACTTATGAAATGATCGAAGAAAATTAGTTCATCTCACTTAACGAGAAAACCGAAAGTCTATTACAAACACGCCGATCTTTCTGAAAGCAGTTTTTGTTTTAATAACCTATAGTTTTTATCGGTAACTAATTGTGACACGATGACTCAAACCCACCAAGTGCTTTAAATTCTCGAGTTTTAACAATTGCTATATCTGTGCCTAAATATCATTTTCGGAAAGGGTGCCCTCACATTTTAAATCTCACTACTGGAAGTAGTCATATAATATTTTCGTCCGAGACCAAATACATTAACTAAACGATATATGCGTAGAAACACTAGCTCATGCAGAAAAAAAAGGGGGGGTATGCATTAGAGTGAGTTATTTATGTCATATATAGTGAAGTACAGACATTAAAAACTTTAATCTCCTTCAGGAGTACTAGAAACTAAAGTACATTCTCAATCTTGATTTCTACTTAGGTTCAGTTATTTATGTATTTAGCAAACGTTTATGTATATTCTCGCACAAAACAAAATTGGAATTACCTGAAAAGCTATGTTGTAAGAGATGCAAGGACAATTTAGATTACAACATCAACATTTTACTGAAAAGGGGGTAATTTGTGCATTTGATAATAATCCTTCAGTAGACATGGTGCTGCACCATTTAATTTGCTGCGTTTTTGTGCAGTATCTTTCAGCATTTAGATTTCAACATAAAAAAACTAACTTCAAAAGCAGTGAGCTTTCTAGTATGGTTCTAAGGTCAATAGAAATTGTAGTGTTTTCGTGGCCACTGGACTAAGTTAAAACTGTATTTTAAATCCCTTAAAACGAAACACATATACACAGGCGAGTCACTGGTCTAGTAAAATCGTGCCGGCAGAAAGGGTAACAGCAGCGTAAGTGCTAGTGAACGATCTACTATTTTAAGCACCGGGGTGGGAGGGCGGAAGTGCCATAAACTAAAGGAAAGTTAATTATATTTAAACTGAAATTCAATATTTTTATACAGAGGGAAAGATTTAAATCTATATCTACTATTCAAAAAAGCAGGGGGGCGGTAGTTATTGTTTTTATTGTGGTGGCTCTTGTGCGTATTATAAATGAACTTCCAGTTTGAATGTTGTATTTTCATAATGAGCAGCTTCTTACTCAGGTCACATTTCTGTTTGCCTTAAGGGGAATTTTGCCAGAGTAAAGACTGCCTTTTGGGTCCACCTAAGAACCTTCCGTTTTGGTAAAATTTCAGACTTTCCGAAAACCGGGGTTTCCGTTTGTGCAGAGGAATGGTCGGTAGCATTTCTCTGTACATATGCTCAAAAGCTAAATGCGTTTTTGGTCTAGAGTTTTCCCCCAAATGCATTGTGCGTGCCGCGCAGTAAGAGGGGGTTATTTACAGTACAGCACGTGTGTGCGCGCCTGTATGCACACTGATATTTAATACATACATGATATAATATCCACATTTACATACCTGGGAGGGGGGACCTGAGACTTGATTTTCTGGCCATTTCAAGCAGCTTCCTGTTTCTCTTGGTCTTGCAGCCTTTGTGGTATTCGACGCCTTTAGAGCCTAGGAGGCGATTGACTCTGCTCAACATTTTATTAACCTGTTTTATTAACCTGCGGGCCTGATCCGATCCCATTGACTTTAATGGTAGTTGGATCAGGCTCAGACTGAAACTTGGTAGTTAAACCGCTGGCATTAGTTGCAGAGACCCAATCCTGCAGTTCAATCCCTACCCAGGCTTGGCCACCAGTGGGAGTTGGCCAAACACGGAGTCAGTGACTGACGGCTTCTGCCCCTCTCCTCCCAGGTCATGATGATGGGAAACACCCAGGTGGCGGAGCTGCTGCTGCAGAGAGGAGCGGATCCCAACCGGCCGGACCCGCGCACCGGCTCCCTCCCAGTGCACGATGCGGCGCGAGAAGGTTTCCTGGACACCCTTGTGGCGCTGCACCGAGGCGGGGCTCGCTTGGATCTGCGGGACACATGGGGCCGCCTCCCCATTGACCTAGCTGTCGAGAGCGGGCATCAGCAAGTGGTCAGCTACCTCCGCGCCCAGCCTGCAAGGGGTGCCGCTCCGCCCCAGGCATAGGGCACGGGCGTGTGGCCAGCCGTCTGCGGGGCTTTGCCCTGCTCAGCCACACACAGCACTGAACTGCAGGCACCAGGTTTGTCTACAACAGCCGGGGATCACCCCGCAGGAGTAACCCTGACACATCAGGCTGGAAAGCAGAGGGTGGCCGCAGGGGAGGCTGTGGCCACCACTCATTAGGGTTCACCCAATTTTGTTCATCTTTAATCCAGTACTGTACCCTCCCCACATTTACAGAAGAGTCCACATTCATGGGTGTTATAATATTTCCTCCTAGAACATAACTTATTGTCCGTTTTTTTTCTTAAACGTATGAAGTATAATAAAGAGGAATAATATATTGTAAATATGCCACTTGGAAATGTTCTCTTAAATGCACTAAAACCAAACACTATCTTTTTTTTTTTTTTTTTTTTTTTTAGATTTTTACTTTGCACAAATATGTATATCAGCTTTTACTTGAAAAAAATGAACGTTCAAACACAACCACTGTAAAGGAAACCATGAAGGTAAATATATGACTTAAATTAATAAACTATTACTAGTCTGACAGAAACCAAAGCTTTGTGTAGTTCTTGGGTTGCAGTTTTCCTTCCCAGATCTGGAATACAAACAGATTCCTAGTGCCTGGATTTTCCAAAAGATGTGGATAGGAAATAAGCTAGACATCTTTTCAAACATAGAAACCAGAGAGAGTCTAAGAATTTTAGATCCCTAGGGCCAGATCCAACTCCCATTGATATTAATGGTTGACTTTGATTTTAATAGAAGCTATCTGAAGCTCACAGTGCTAAAATGATCATTTTATTTTATTTTATTTAACATGGTTTTAAATCATTAGGGATACTCCTATTTGCATTTTAGACTCATATTTTCACTTACCAACTGAAGGTGTAGACCATACAATCAGGTGAAATCATATAAGCTGTTAAAAGTCACTATAGGAATAAAATATTTACAGTGTGTCCCACAAAGATTAAGAACATAAGAATGGCCACACTGGGTCAGACCAATGGTCCATCTAGCCCAGTATCCTATCTGACAGTGACAGGTGCTAGATGCTTCAGATGGAATGAACAGAACAGGGTAACAATCCATCCCTTCCAGTCCAAGCTTCATGCAGTCAGAGGTTTAGGGACACCCAAAAAATGAGATTGCATCCTTGAGTATGTTGGCTAATAGCCATTGATGGACCTATCCTCCATGAACTTATCTAAGTCTTTTTTGAGATCAGTTATACCTTTGACCTTAACATCCCCAGGCAATGACTTCCACAAGTTGACTGTGCCTTGTGTGCAGAAGTACTTCCTTATATTTGTTTTAACCCTGCTGCCAATTAATTTCATTGCAAGAACCAATGGTCACCCATTGTGTGAAAGGGTAAATAATATTTCCCTATTCATTTTTCCCGTCATTCATGATTTTATAGATGTCTGTAAGATCCTCCCTTAGTCATAAGAACATAAGAATGGCCATACTGGGTCAGACCAAAGGTCCATCAAGCCCAGTATCCTGTCCTTTGACAGTGGCCAATGGCAGGTGCCCCAAAGAGAATGAACAGACAGGTTATCATCAAGTGATCCATGCCCTGTCACCCAATCCCAGCTTCTGGCAAACAGAGGCTAGGGACACCATTCCTGCCCATCCTGGCTAATAGCCATTGATGGACCTATCTTCCATGAATCTATATCTAGGTCCTTTTTGAACCCTATTATAGTATTGGCCTTCACAACACCCTCTGGCAAGGAGTTCCAGAGGTTGACATAAAATACTTTCTTGCATTTTGCATAAAAAAATACTTTCTTGTGTTTTCTTTAAAACCTGCTACCTATTAATTTCATTTGGTGGCCCCTTAGTCCTGTATTATGAGAAGGAGTAAATAACACTTCCTTATTTACTTTCTCTATACCACTCATGATTTTATAGACCTCTATCATATTTCCCCTTAGTCACCTCTTTTCCAAGCCGAAAAGTCCCAGTCTGATTAATCTCTCCTCATATGGAAGCCATTCTATACCCCTAATCATTTCTGTTGCCCTTTTCTGAATCTTTTCCAATTCCAATATATCTTTTTTGAGATGGGGTGACCACATCTGCATGCAGTATTCAAAATGTGGGCGTACCATGGATTTACATAGAGGCAATATGATATTTACTGTCTTATCGATCCCTTTCTTGATGATTCCCAACATTCTGTTTGCTTTTTTGACTGCTGCTGCACATTGAGTGGATGATTTCAAAGAACTATCCACAATGACTCCAAGATCTCTTTCTTGAGTGGTAACAGCTAATTTAGACCCCATCATTGTATATGTATAGTTAGGATTATGTTTTCCAATGTGCATTACTTTGCATTTATCAACATTACATTTCATCTGCCATTTTGTTGCCCAGTCACCCAGTTTTGTGAGATCCTTTTGTAGCTCTTCACAGTCTGCCTGGGACTTAACTATCTTGAGTAGTTTTGTATCATCTGCAAATTTTGCCACCTCACTGTTAACCCCTTTTCCAGATCGGTTAAATAGGACTGGGCCCAGTACAGATCCCTGGGGGACACCACTATCTACCTCTCTCCATTTTGAAAACTGACCATTTATTCCTACCCTTTGTCTCCTATCTTTTAACCAATTACCAATCCATGAGAGAACCTTCCCTCTTATCCCATGACTGCTTATTTGGCTTAAGACCTTTGGTGAGGGACCTTGTCAAAGGCTTTCTGAAAATCTAAATACACTATATCCACTGGATCTCCTTTGTCCAAATGCTTGTTGACCCCCTCAAAGAATTCTAGTAGATTGGTGAGGCATGATTTCCCTTTACAAAAACCATGTTGACTATTTCCCAACAAATTATGCTCATCTATGTGTCTGGACAATTTTGTTCTTTACTGTAGTTTCAATCAATTTGCCCAGTACTGAAGTGAGGCTTACTGGCCTGTGATTGCCAGGGTCACCTCTGGAGCCCTTTTTAAAAATTGGCATCACATTAGCTATCCTCTAGTCATTTGGTACAGAAGCGGATTTAAATGATAGGTTACAGATGACAGTTGGTAGTCCTGCAATTTCACATTTGAGTTCCTTCAGAACTCTTGGGTGAATACCATCAGGTCCTGGAGACTTATTACTGTATAGTTTATCAATTTGTTCCAAAACCTCCTCTAATGACACCTCATTTTGGGAAAGTTCCTCAGATCTGTCACCCAAAAAGCTAGGCTCAGGTTTGGGAATCCCCCTCACACCCTCAACAGTGAAGACCGATGCAAAGAATTCATTTAGTTTCTCCGCAATGGCCTGATCGTCTTTGAGTGCTCCTTTAGCACTCATCTCTCTAACCTGAACAGTCCCAGTTTTTTTTTAATCTCTCCTCGTAGGGAAGCTGTTCCATATCTCTAATAATTTTTGTTGCCCTGCTCTGTACTTTTTCCAATTCTAATTTTATATATATATATAAGATGGGATGGCCACACCTGCACACAGTAATCAAGGTGTGGGAGTACCAGGGATTATAGGATATTTACTGTCTTATTATTTATCCCTTTCCTAATGGTTCCTAACATTCTGTTATCTTTTTTGACAGCTGCTGCAAGTTCAACAGATGTTTTCAGAGAACTATCCACAATGACTCCAAGATCTCTCTGAGTGGCAACATCTAATTTAGACCCCATCATGTTGTATGTATAGTTGGGATTACATTTTCCAGTGTACATTTCTTTGCACTTATCCATACTGAATTTTATCTGCCATTTTGTTGCCCAGTCACCCAGTTTTGTGAGATCCCTTTGTAACTCTTCACGATCAGCTTTGGACTTAACTATGCTTTTTGTATGCTTTGCAAACTTTGCCATTTTGCCCCACACTTTTTCCAGATTGCTTTACAAAGTGCAGTGCCACAAGCAGGAAACCGTGAATGATACAGGTTTTTAAAAATCCTATGCTGCCTGACACTGAAAATACAAAATAGTTCTATAAATTTCAATATCCTGATGTTCCCTGAGTCTTCATTTCTCTTTTAATTCCCTAAAAAACAACTATCACACAATATCCCCAAGCAAAATATTCAGGACCAACTGTGTGTGTGTGTACGTGTGTGTGTGTGTACATACATTCACAATCAATTTAGGAAAGTCTCACCCCAAAATGGAAAGAAGTCTCAAATACATCTTAGGGAGAAACTGCACTGAAAAAGTTGAGCTTCCAAAAGGGTGGGGGGAGGGAAGGAATGTTTAAAAAGGACTATTCATCTAAGCAATTTCAAGCCTTTGATAATGTACCCAAAGGCATAATTTCTTAGCAGGAAAACAAAAAGCTGTAGCCCAGAATTCAAAAAATAGAAAACTGAATCCAGTAAGTCAATACACACTCCAATTTTTTATATTTTTTATTTTGGATCTGTGTGGTCAAAAAGAGAGAGAGAGAGAGATAGAGAGAGAAAGAGAGAGAGAGAGAGAGACTCTTATCTTTGTAGGGTTGAAATTTTGGTAGCAATAGAACAGAGCTGGTAATACACTAAGAGGCAAAAACTCACGATAAAAGTAATTTCTTTCTGTTCTCTGACTTTGAATGACCTTGATCAAATCAGACATACTGTGTCAACTGCTCATTACAGAATGAAATTCACCCCATGAAGAGGGCTAGCAAGAATCCTGTGTCTAAGGGTAGCCCACGAGGAATAAGTGTACTTGAAGGCCGCATGCAGCTCCTCTGCAAGGGGTGAATGTTAAACTATTTTCCATGCAGATTTGCTCTTCGCGTTTTATTTATGTTTCTAACAAATCTGGGGCAAATCCTGTTCAATTTACTCACATGGGTAACCCCACTGGTCTCTCTGGTATTAGCTGGGCAAATTAGAAGGCAGGATTTGGCCCCTTATTTGGATTGCTGCTGTTCACATCCCTGCCATCTACAAAATAAATCTCTTGTAAACACTAAGGGGCTCTTCACCAACCAAAGGCCTAAAACAGATTATTCTCCTCCCTTTGGGGACAGATTAATGGAGATTTTTAAAAGGCATTATTTACTTTCATTTGAACTCTGGGGAAAGAGAGGATCCCTCTCCCGACCTTCCTTAGCAACCTCTCTAAAACCAGTATTTGCTCTCTAGACTCCATTCTGGAAATTTTGCCCTTGACTTCCATGGGAGCAGCAGCAAGAAATGTGTGCAGTGATAATCGTGTCCACCAATTTTAACTTCCCCTAGTTGACATCACAATTAAACATCAATAGACCTAATTCAAGCTCTCCCCATTTTTCAGAGTAGGCAGGTGATGGCAGAATGTACTCCTACTTCCATTCTGGGGACCCATACCCGGGCTACTCCGATGGAGCACCTCACCCGCTCTGAGCACTCCCCAAGTCACCCGGGACCATCGAGAAGTGTGCGAGGGACTGTGGGGAAAGCAGGATGTTCACGCTGAAAAGCGGACACCATGTCTCCAGGTCTAAACCACGGCTCAGCGAGTGGAAGGTTTCATTGAGATCCTGCAGTGTCGACTCTACAGACTGGGAGGCGGGAGGAGGGGTAATAGGCGTGGGATTGCAGCAAGGGTGTTCCGCCTGGCCGTGCACCGCTATATCTAGCCCAAAGCTACACTTTGGCTACACATTTCTACAAAGTGCCCAGTATCTAAACATCTTCGCGGCTAGTGTAACTTCATTGCGAAGTCGCCGTCTTCATGTTTAGCAGCGCGGCGTGTTTTCTGAAGTAGCCGAGACATTCGACGGAGGTTATGCAGACGCATCGCTAGGAAAATCGCTCCCACAGACCGCGAGAAAGAAAAGAGCAAAAGGTGAGCGGTTTTGTCCCCCCAGGGCCCCTGGAGCAAAAACCTGACCGGCACAGGTGTATCACATAGGACCACATTCTCAGCTGGTGTAAGGCACCATAATGCCCCTGGAGTCAGTGGAGAGTTGCAGATTTACACAGCGGGTTTGACCCACAGTATCCCAACATTTATTTGACAATGGATTAAAGCCTATTTGATACACAGGTAGGTGTTGCCCATAAATATTATTTTCACACTAGTTGTCCTTTGGGGGCCTATTTATGCTCTCTGACGCAAGTGGAAGCTTTTCTATTAAGCTTTTGGGGAAACTATGGGGCTTTTAGGAGGTCACTTACCTTCTTTTTCAATTCTCCTCTCCCTCCCGCCCTCCTCCCCATTCGGGCACAGTTTCCCTAACTTTAATCCAGACTCTGATCACTTTATTCCCGTGAGTAAAATGACCAGACAGCTGATTTTCCTCTTTAGCTAAATTAGAGCTGCTGCCCAAGCCTGCAACTGGCTCTCCCGCAACCAGAAACATACCGGAAGAACCTCAGAAACTGGGAGCTGATCCTGCTACTCTAACTCGTGTGAGTCATTCTTACTTACGCAAGCAGCTGCAAGGGGCCTATTCGGCGGTGACGTTCACCACCGTGCAGAGGTGGAAACACAAAGCCTATCGCAGCAACCGAGTGCCACTATTTTGAGGGCTGGAATGGCACTTCAGTAACTGCCCAGGGCTTGTGCTGGCGGTCAGCGCAGGGGTGAATTTTATCGCACGTGAGGAAGGTTACCGGTACCCGAGCCTTTACCATAAACTTTTGAACCCTCTGAACGTAGAGCCCATATTATCTCAAGGGCAGCATCCTTGGCTGATTGTTCGCAGCATTAGGCTCTCCTGACATTCTCTTTGCCTCGAATAGAATTACAGGGTTTGGACACTACGGCTTGTTTATTAACAAAATGTCTATAGTTTGTATTAAATAATACCATTGTAATTGACTTGGAATAACGTATCTAACATCATGGCATTATATATGTCCCCAGGATAAGGGGCACTTCCACCACCATTTTTGAACTGGTATTCGCAGTAACTATGGATAACTATTGAAAAAGCTTTTTTTTTTTTTTTTTTTTGCTTCCACCAGTAACACAATGGGTCAACTGCTCCTTCCTTTACTCACACCAATAGTCCGAGTGAAATCAGTGGGACCACCAGCTTTGCTAAGGCAAGGCAGCAGGATTTGGCCCATTTTGTTTAATTACTTCATCTACATTTTATTGCTGTAAGAATTTGTTAGCCCACTCCCCCCCCCAAAAAAGCCACTTTATTAAATTCCTGTTTTCACTCATTCTTTCCCCAGAGGTGTTGCATAAAGTTTTAAATGCTTGTTTTCAGGCTATTGATTTTGTTGTTGTTGACAGCCCAGAGGAGGCGGTTTCTGAAAATATGTAATATTCACTCTGTACATATGAGCCATCCCAGCTCCCCCGTCCCACGTTTACAGTATTAAAAACAAAACCAAACTCACCCAAGTGCCCTGGAGTCCTCCTCCCTAATAAAAACAAATTCAGAAATGTTCAAAAATCATCTTTAGAGACTTCCTGCCCTTGAAGTGTTCCCTGCATTCTTTGCCCACCCCAAACGCTCACTACACTTCTCTGGGTGTCTGGAATGTGCAGAGGCTGCAAAACGCAAGGCCTTCTGAAAACCGAACTGTCTACACGAAGGAGGCTATCTTGGCACAGCTCCATCGCCCTACAACGGCCGGCCTAACCCAGACCCGCAAGGCTGCGGCTGCTACGTAGTGCCCAATTCGCGCACCTGAGCCAGACTCTTGAGCCCATTTTGTGTCTCTGCTGAAATGGCGCTGAGAGGAGCAGGAGTTCTCGTTTCTATCTGCTCAGCGGCATGGGAAGGACGGGAAGAAAGTATCTTCCCCAGACATCAGCGATCTCGCCAGGATTTACTTCGTGGGTGCTGCCCCCAGACCACAATTTAGTAAACTAGGGAATGCTGGGCCATTTCTGAGCCAACAAAAATTCCAGGAACTCCCTTCGACACGCTCTTAATACCCGCTGGGAAGGAGATGTAAACAAGCCCCGATCAAACGTGGTTTTCTGAGGCATCTTCTTAATTTGCTTACCCAACACAGGGGGGTTACTACATTGACTCAAACCTGACTTCCTCGAGAAACGGAGCATGCAATTTCTTTTTAATAATACTCCCCCGCCCCTCACCCTCGCCGCTAGCTTCCCATCACGAGCGAGGCTTGTGTTTGTTTGTGTCTTTGTTTTGACACTTCACAGATATCTTGCTTCTCTACAACGTGACACACTGGGATCAAACCGAAAATAAAACAAGTCCGGGCATCCGCACAAACGCTGGCGGGGCGTGAGAGCTCATCCTTAAACTCCCCCAAGCCACCGAAACGGCGTTTGCTTATTTAACCGCGACTTTAAAAAGTCACCTATCGGGAGCAACTGAAGGGGGTGGGGCGACACACGAAATCAGCCGCGCAGTTAGTTACCCCTGGTTGTAAGTCGCGAGTAAAAGTAGGGCCCGATCTGCGGAGCGGCACAGACAGCAACGGCAGGGCTCCGCGCCTCCTTCAAGGGGCCATGTGACAGCCGCGGACACTATTTGTCGCTGTAAAGCGACACGGGCCGCTATTCGGGCTTTTCTCCGCGATTGGCTCTCGCCTCTGCGCCGCTTCCTACCTTCTTGCAGGGAGCCGGCTCCGCGGGGCGTGCGTCGCCGCCCCGCCGGCCCGTGGGGACCCTCCCCGCTCCGCCGGAGGCTGGGGGAGAGGGGGGGGACGGAGCGCCTCCCCCAAAAAGGGTCCGATTAAAAAAAAAAAAAAAAAAAAGCAAACAACACACCAAGCTAGAGAGGAGAACGAATAATGTCGTAAGAGGCTTTATTTAAAACACTGGCTGTGATTGGCTGGCTTTCCTGCGGCGTTCGTGCACTTGGTGGAGGAGCCGGCGATGCTCGCTGGAGCGAGGCGCAAGGCTCGCTGCCGCCTGCCGGCCAGGGGGCGGGACCCCCCTCGCTGCCCCCCAGCGGAACTGGAACTCCCCGCTCGGCTCGAGCAAGCGGGGTGCGCGGGGGAAGGGGGGTGGGTGGGGGGGGGGGGAGAGGAAGAAGAGCAGAACTGTCTGCAAATGAATGGAGCGCGAGGCTGCTCGTGCAATGGCCTGGTCCTGCCTATAGGGGTATCTATAGCTCAACACTTCGGGGGGAAAAGGCGGGGGGGGGAGAAAGGGGGGGGGAGATTTCCCGCTCCTTCTGCCCTGCGTGGACAGTTACTAACCTGAGCCCCGCAGGGTGCGCTCTCCAAACCGCTGCGCGCCGCCAGGAGCGCCCCAGCCAGCATGGGCATGAGGATAAAATGCACCGTCCGATGTAAGCGCCCGAGAAACCTCCCACGCGTCAGGGCTGTTTTGCTCAAGATCATCCAAGGCTTACTGAAGGCTTATCCAAGATCCAGGCCCCTTCGCCTTTCCCTCGTGGTGGTTTTGAGGAAGCGCTGCAGCAGGCGGGCTGAGCCTGGGCACCCCGCTGAGAACAGGTAGGAACCAACCTCAGAGAGGGGTGGGAATGGAAGGTGCCACTCTTGAGACTGAAGGTGAAATTCTGCCCCCCCCCCCCCACGGAGGTCAATGGCAAAAATTGCCAACCACTTCGGTGGAGCCAGGCAACGCCAGGAGCTGGCTTCACCATAGGAACCTGCTGTGTGCAGAGACAGCCAGTCCTACGGATACTCTTGCTCTTGGGTCATTTCTTACTATCCCGACTGATTTCAGGACCTTCTGCTTACGGACTGATGGCACGAGGTGGTCCCATATGCCAGGGCGCGCTCTTTTGGCCCCCTATAATTTTCTTTAGTGTACAGCAGCAGATTTTGTGAACGTTACAATACATGACAGTCAGTAATCGCCCACAAACTATTGCGGCATCGTTGTGGCACCTTGTTTGTTCCAATCAGATACAACAGGCGATTTTTCTAGAGTAATTAAAGTGCACCTACCATCACCATCAAGTATGACAAATTGGAGACAAACGTTCTCGTGAGTAGGCACCAAAAATAGTGTTTTGGAGGGAGAAAATGGCCGATTATACACACACTCCACTATTTTGTGACTAGCCAGATAGGAAAGTCAGCATGTTTGCCTTTTCATTGTGATATTTTTAACAGTGAAATCGATTGGCCAGGTTTTATATTTGTTATTGTATAAACATCCAAAACTAAGGTATCAGTGTATCAGATTATCAGTTCATAGAGTTAATTATTAAAATTCATATCTAAAAGATCCTGAGGGGCTCACTCAGGCAAAATTCAAGCACTTCAGTGGGAGTTTTGCCTGAACTGGGACTTCAAAACTGGCCCTCGCAGGGTCTGTTTGGCCCTGTACAGTGCAGTTTAGGCATTGTTTATTATGATTTATTGAATACACAATAAGCATAAAGTATTCTGTGGATTATCTGGACATTATAAAATGTGGAGCAATGTTAAACAGAGGAAGAACACGATTTCTGTAGTCTAATAGGAAGTGCCAAGACCGATATTAGTGGGGACATAAAAACACACTTTTAAAAAATCCAAACCAGAGGCCCCCTTGGTTCTGAGATTTTTGTATATATATATCACAGTGTTTGGAGCAGGAAATAATTCTGTGCTGCTGATGGAATACTGAGCACTGGTTAGGCCAGTGTACAGGGAAGGTTTTGATCAAGAGCAATTATGCAGTGTACATCATTATCTTTAAATATCCATATTTAAACTAGATGTTGGGCCTCCTTACTTCAACCGCAGCGATAATAAGTGCTAAAAAATATATCCTCATCAACATCACCTCTGTGATGAACCTGAAAAGCATAAATACCAAAATATGGGACTGATCCTGAAAATATTTACTGCCTGTAAATCAATTCACTGAAGCCAGGGTCAGAAACCCTGCTCTGGCCAGCAGTGTTTTGCTCTGTGTTTCTGCGCCCCCAAAGAACTATTTTTATATAATTTAATTTTTTAAAAAACTATTAAAAAGCAAATTAGTGCTAAAAAGTTCACTAAGGTATTCAAAACATGATTGTTTTTCTCTTGGAAGGCCAAGTTATGTTGTGACTGAGCTATAAAACTTGGAATTCCCCCTCCGGCCCTATCATAGCTGTTCTATACAATATAATTATATTAAAATAAATAATAATAAGCCTGGGAGAAGATTAAAGTGAATCGCGAAAAAGAGAAACAATTAAGGGCCCAGACTGTAGGCAGATGCATTCATAGCCCTTGCTGAGGGTACTGGGAGTTGTGTGTGTGTGTGTGTCTGAGGGCAGAATTGGACACATTCATTTGAAAATACAGCAGCTGCACTGATCTTTCCCTTTCCCCGTCTGGATTAGAATGATTTAATTTAGTTGTTTTATCAGAAAGGGAAAGATCCGGGAGGAAATAAAAAGCGATGAACCGACTGAAAACAAATAACACAGGGCCCAACTCCAACAGGGCTTCGGCTCTAACTCCCTGGAGCAGTGCCAAGGAACTGCTTCTAAAAGCACTTACCGAACCAGATAGATCCCGAAGTTTACAAAATGGCTGATTACATTTTAAAGCAAATCCTGCGTATATGAATGTAAGTGAAAATTAGGCAGAAAGTTACTTATTTTGTATGCACTCATGTAGGATTTGTGCTGAAACTTGGGACATTTGTTTTAATTTGGCACATAAAGTAGTTTGTTGATTTCAAAGCCCTAAAAAATATTATAAAATGCTATTAGGAAACCCCTGCATTCTGATTAATCCGCAGCCAGCGTGAGATTCTTGAATATCGTAATGGGCCTGAACCCGCCTTTCAAATAAAACTACTGTATTGTTACAGTAAACCTAGAAAATGCATACAGCACGGTAAATGAAACTATTAGTAAAATACAGAGAACATTTTGTGGCATTGGTTAAACCATAGGTTCAGGAGACCAGGAGTTTTTTCCTGGTTATGTCACCTACCTTTTATGCGACCCTGGACAAGTCACAATCGCCCTTTGCCTCAGTTTCTCTGCTCCTACGTCCACGTTCGAGGTTTACCGAATGTGGGGAGAGCTTAATTAATTATATGTTTGTAAAGCGCTCTCAGATAGTTACTTAGCATCCGTCATCCAACAATTGCCATTCACCTGCTTATATTTTATTCGTATTATAGCTCTACCAAAGTTATCCTCTACCATGGTTCTTTTTAGATTTATTAAAATTAGTCAAGCTATTTGCATACAGGCTAAATCCATCCTTTTAGTTACTTTATTCAGAGACTAAGAAAGCCCTTGGTACTACGTTATCATAAAACCATGACCCATCCATCCGATTTAACACTAATGTATTGCTATATTAGAAAAGAGCAAAGAGAAGATATTTCAATTATCCATTGTTAAGGGGGGCACATTTTTCCCTTATTTGCATGTTCACCTATCACAGCAAACAAAAAATTATATCACTTTGCTGGTAAGTGGAGGCACTTTAAATAGTAAAATAGGTTGTTTTCTGTTTCGGGTATAACCAAAATAGTTTAACTTTGTATAATTGCAGCTTCCAACTAGATCTGTTTTCATTATTATTCCAAATTATTTTTTCAGTGCAGCTTTAGAGAGAGGCAGAAAAATAAAATCCTTAGACCAGTTAATTGGGCTTGCTAAATTGTTTAATGTGAAATGGAAAAAATTATACAGGAAGTAAGGTTTCATCAAAAAGTATAATTCTCTTTTTATCCCTTCCGCTTCAACAAAATATTTTTCCCAGCAGTAAAGAGGTGCAGTAACTAGGTTAATCAAATATAATTCTGTGATCAGCATTTGTTCAGCAATATTGTGGTCATCTCAGATATTCTTTTGTGGTACCTGCTAGTAAATGCGAGCTGCTTGACTGAAACAGCACAAGGTATTCTATTATGTGGATTTCTGAGAGAAGCGTAGATGGATTTAAGAGGGGTGCAGAAGGAAAAGGGGATAGTTTTGAGGCCATGGGTAGAAAAGGTTGAAAACTGACGATGGGGGGGGGATCTTATTAGCAGGGTTCTCGGAGCCTTTCTTCTGCTATCTTGTTTGATGCTGATCTGCAGTTTTGTGGCTTGTGTCAGTTCCCGTAAAATAACTCTTTTCTCTTATGATTGGGCCAAATCTATGCAGGACACCCGAGTGCTGTGTCAGTTTCTTGGTTTATAAAGGCTTTTACGATTATTTACTTTATATTAGCATGATAGCTCGATGCATTTTCCAGAACATTAAAATAAACCAGCATTTTTGCAGCCCATTCCCACCCCAGTACGGATGAAAAATTCGGACCTGTAAAGAAAGATGCCAGAAGGATCCAGTGGAACTTGCATTGCATTGTAAACGTGCCAGACTTGGAGCCCTGAGTGAGAAGCTGGGCTCAGATAAGGAAACATTACACATTTGTGGACATCCATTTTCAAGATACACTTTTTGCCTGACAGTTACTGGGATCCTCTCTTTGCCGTGTGCGTACATACCAGGGCTGCTATCACAACTCCTACGCCAATCGCCTTTTGTCTGGTATGAAATAGCACCGTGCTCTATATACACAAGAGCATCTTCTAAAGTCACCCCCTTATCAATGTGTGTACTGCTAATTCGGGTAACTGGGTAGCTCTGAAGTTTCTTGGGACTCCTGGATTTGCTTGCCGCAGCAAGCAAAAACATTTTTTTAATCTGTCAGCTGCTTTTTCTTAGTATTTCTGTAGCCATCCCACCATTTTCTACTATAAACAGAAAAGATTAAGGAACTAAACTTCAGAATTGTACTTCCTTAATCTAATCTCTGTATCTAAACAGAGTTTATCACCGTAGGATCTGGGCACTGATTCCGACCAGCTAGTGTTTCGTTTTTATTAGTCTCGGTTTTTTCCTTTATACAAATCAGTTGTATAGTTGCCCACTGTGCTCCGGAAGCTGTAAAATCAAAGATGAGCATCAGACTGTGCACATCCACTGGAATTAGGGCCTGATTAATTTCATTCCCACTGGAGAAAATCCAAGGTAACTTCGTTGCCTTTTGCGGAGTTTTTC